GACTGAGACACTGTCTGAGTCTCTAGCTAAGACTTCCAGGTGGCAGGGCTCTGACCTGGGGGAGTGAGTTTACACCCAGGTGGGTATGAGGGACTGCACTTCCTGCTTCCCACCCTCTTCTCCAACTCCCGCCTGGGAGGGCCTGGCTGCAGGCCTGTGCTTGTCCCTAGCCTCAGGAAGAGAATCCTGCTTCTGCCTCATGAGCCCCGATTTCCTCTCTGCGGAGTCCCCACCACAGTGCCTTGTCTTCGGTCCTGGGGTTTGAACTCTCTTCAGAGTAGCCGCCTTGCTATTGTCTATGTTTATCTGGCCATGGCACCGATAGCTCTTTTAATACATTTCTGACTCTCCAACAATTCGTCTCAGTGTCTCCTTGAGCCCCCATATGAGACCTTCCACACACATCTTTTTTTATTTGTTTGCTTTATTTGTTTACATATATGGGTGTTTTGCCTGCATGTATATCTGTGCACAGTTTACATGGCTGGTGTCTCCAGAGGCCAGAAGAGTTTGTCAGATCCCCTGGAACTGGAGTTACACAGACGGTTGCCAGCCATCATATGGGTGCTGCGAATGGGATCCTGGTCCTCAGGAAGAGGAGCCAATGCTCTTAATCACTAAGCTGTCACTCCAGACCTGCTTCTTACATACCTTTAAAAAAGGAAAAAAGAATTCCTGGAGATGAGAAGCTAGGGGAAAAAGGAACAGAAAAAGAGCCTAACATATGAAAGGAAACCCATAAAAACCTGTTGTCTTAGAAAGCAAATGAGGACGCATGTCATAGAAAGAAAGGCAATCCTACCAAATACTGAAGACAGGACAAATAAGTGAAGACAAACTGGCCATTTTCCTGGGACTAGAAAGACAAAATATTTAAATGCTAATGATAGCAGTCACTACTAGTGTTGTATATCATTTTTGCTCAGGCTCCATTTTTAATTTCATAGTAGCTATCAAAAATTTAAATGTAGCATGGTGGTGGCACATGCCTTTTATCCCAGCAGTTGGGAGGCAGAGCAGGAGGATCTCTGTGAGTTCAAGGCCAGACTGATCTACATTGACGGGAGAATTCCCACAGAGCTACAGCCTGACATACAACATATATAGTGAGTTCTAGGCCAGCTAGAGCTACATAAATGAGATCTTGATATATATATATATATATATATATATAATATATATATATATTATATATATAATTTTACTGTATCACGGTTGGGATAGTATATACCTATAAAATCAGCATTTGGAGGTACAAGACTGGTCTTGGCTAAGTAGTTAGATTCTCTGTTACTAAGAAAATCTAAATGTGTAATTACTTTGATTTTTTTCAGCTCTAAGAATTTGTCCTACAGCAATATTTACACAGAAAGAGATGGATATAAAAACATTTTAAATCAGAATATTAATTTTAATAGTAACATAAAACTTTCTGTTATAACATATCTCTTTGTTAAGGAATTAGTGGATATACACGTGAAGACAGGTAACACATGTACCATGTTCTTTTGTTACTGCTTGTGGGTCTTTTGAGAGATGATCTCACTGTATAGTCTAGGTTGGTCTCAGATTCCAAGTTTTCCTATGCAGGTATATACCACTTGCCTGGGGTTTGTTTGTTTTTTTTTGTTTGTTTGTTTGTTTGTTTTGTTTTTTGAGACAAAGTCTCACGTAGCTCAGGCTGGCCTTGAGCTCGCTATCTAGTTGAGGGTGGCCTACACTCTTCCTGCCTCTCCCTCCTGAGTGGTAGGATCACAGGCATGTCACACATCTATGCTGGCAGGATGATTTCAGCTAGTGTTGCAGGACAGATTCTTTCGCTCTGATGATTTCAATAGAAAGGCAGGAAAAGCAGGGTCTCAGCATTCAGTCAAGTTTTTGTTTGTTTGTTTGTTTGTTTTGTTTTTCGAGACAGGGTTTCTCTGTGTAGCTTTGCGCTTTTCCTGGAGCTCACTTGGTAGCCCAGGCTGGCCTCGAACTCACAGAGATCCGCCTGCCTCTGCCTCCCGAGTGCTGGGATTAAAGGCGCCACCACTGCCCGGCTTAAGTTTTATTAACAGTAGGAGCACAGGGTCTCTCTGCTCCTTGGAAACCCTCTACTCCAAACCTCAGGGAGTATTGTTTTAAAAATTTTATAGAGGAAAATTTTGGTGTTCCTGGTTTAATTATCTAGTACTCTCATTCCTGAGAATCTTAATATCTTTCTACTTTTTTTTTTTTTTTGAGACAAGGTTTCTCTGTGTATCCCTGATGGTCCTGGAACTCACTCTGTAGACCAGACTGGTCTCAAACTCAGAGATTCACCTGCCTCTGCCTCCTAAGTGCTGGGATTAAAGGTATGCACCTCCAATGCCTGGCTCTGCTTAATTTTTATTGTATTTAAATAAAGACAGTAGGCAGTCATTTTCAGCCCTAAATTTACATTTGAATGGCCTTATAGCTTCAAAAGTATGTATGCCCAGGCTCCACCCTTGACTTAGAACTTGGAATGAGATCAGCCTACCAGTATCCTTTGATATTTGAAGTGTATTCTTTGTTATTTTGCCATCAAGAATATACTTATGCTAGGGACAAACTTCCTCTGCTGTGAAATTATTTTCCTAGAATATAAATTCCAGTTTTTGAGATAAATCATCTTTTCCTTAGGAATAGTAGATAGAATTATTATTTTCTATCCTCTTAGGGATCAGATTTTTAATATACATATAAACATAATATATATTACATAATATATAACATATACATATACACACATAATACACACACACACACACACACACACACACACACACACACACACCAGGGTGTGACCATTTGCTCTATCCCAAGAACTTCACAAAAGCCTCCAAATAGGATGCATTGTTGTTTCTCCTCTTTGGTCTTTAGGGTCCCTGCCACCCAGCTCCTAAATAAATCACACACGGAGGCTTATTCTTACTTATGAATGCCCGGCCTTAGTTTGGCATTTCCTTAACTTTAAATTACCCCATCTACCTTTTGCCTCTGAGTTTTTCCCGTTCTCTTACTTCTATAAATCTTACTCTTACTCCATGACTTGCTGTGTAGCTGGGTGGCTGGCCCCTGGAGTCCTCCTCCTTCTCTGGCTCCTTCTTCTCGCCTCCCAGATTTCTCCTTCTATATATTCTCTCTGCCTGCCAGCCCCACCTATCCTTTCTCCTGCCTTGCAATTGGCCGTTCAGTTCTTTATTAAACCATCAGTGTTTTAGACAGGCAGAGTAACACAGCTTCACAGAGTTAAACAAATGCAAAATAAACAAAAGTAACACACCTTAAAATAATATTCTACAAGGATGCTCATGTTTGATGGTGCGCTTGTTCACTTTGGTAGGATCACTGTCTTAAGCATTGCTTTTGGTTTGCTTGGTTGCTTGGTTTTGCTCACTAATACTTGGTGAAAAAGGCTTTGTGCTTTTACTTCCTTAGTTAGGACAATAACCCCAGGCTAACTGCCACTCTGAGAGGGTCCCTGCCTTCCTTGCTCGTCTGTGATGCGTTCACCTAGCAACGGTCTCCGTGACATGTAAACATTCTACTGGTATTTGTGCAGGATGCCCACTCATTAGGGTGTCTCCTGGGAACTGATCTTGGATTTGAGGTTTTCTCCTGATCGTGATATGGTAAAAAAAAAATAAAAATATGCTTTGTTCTTTCTAAAAAGTGAATCATAGCAAGCTATATGTCATGTGAGGAAGTAAGACACACAGAGATTATGAGGGTGGGTTTTCAAAGAGTTGAAGAGAGTAAGCTGTAACCTTAGATAATATTAGATAGAACTCAGCTTCCATTTAAAAAAAAATTAATTATGTATGTGTGCATGTGCATTTACCATGTGTACCAGTGGTGGTAAGAGGACATCTTGCAGGTCTGTGTGTGTGTGTGTGTGTGTGTGTGTGTGTGTGTGTGTGTGTGTGTGTATACATACACGCACACAAGAACATATAACACAGCATACATGTGGAGGTCAGAGGACAACTTCCAGGGGCTGGTTCTCTTTTACTAGGTGAGTCCTGGGGATCAAACTTGGGTCTTCTGGACTTGGTGACAAGCACCTTTAGATGGTTGAATCATCTCACTGGCCTTCCTCCTTCTCCTGAACCTCCAGAAAAGAAATCTCTAAATAATAACCAGGCCCCTGAATATCCTTCCTTGTGAGGCCTGCTGCTCCAGTGTATTCTGGTCTGTGCCATCTCTCTGCTTCAGACAGAGTGTCTGTGCTTCTTTGCATATTGGGATGTGCTTGTTTCTGTGCTTTGAGAGAGATACCAGGATCCCGGGAGCATGGGACTGTGGGGACGGCTCAGTGATGAAGGACACTCGCTTCTCTTGGAGATAACCCAGGTTTGATTCTCAGCACACACGTGGCTGCTCACTCACAATGGCCTGTAACTTCAGTCCCATGAGATACAGTGCCCTCTTCTGACCCTTGAGGGCTCATGCACACACACACAGTGTATATACAGACACTCAGGCACATACACATACACATATTACACACACACACACACACACACACACACACACACACACACATATATATATATATATATATATATATATATATATATATAGAGAGAGAGAGAGAGAGAGAGAGAGAGAGAGAGAGAGAGAGAACCTGGAAACACCCAGCCCAGACCCTGACCTCCAGTAACTCTAGCACACTCAAGGACTTGATTTTTAACACTGAAAAAAAGTAGTATGAGGTTACGTTTATGCTTTCCTCTGGGGCATAAAGAGCTCTATAAACTATTGTATGCACATTATCAATTCATAGCTGAGTTTTTATGGTTTGGCTGTTTCTTGAGTGCTATAGTTGCCATTTCTGATAGACTGAAAAATTGAAAATGAGGGGAATTCACAGGTCATAAAGCTGTGATTCATGCGTAGCATTAGGAATAGGGTGTGTGTGTGTGTATGTGTGTGTCTGTGTGTGTGTGTGTTCCAATGACACTTCAACTATTCTATACTCTCTTCAGAAACTAGGTCCACGTTGTCTCCAAGAAACAGTTTCAGCAGGCAGTGCCTCCTGAGGCCTGACTACGCGCCAAGACACTACTGGAACATTCTGGCAGTCTTTGCGGTTGGCTCTGCACAGGCCTCCTCATCTCTTGCTGAGTGCTATACAGAAACGTCCCTTGGAAGCACCGGGGTCACCGTCAGTGGGTCTGCTTCACGCTTCCTGTGTCTCCAGCATGTCAAGGCCACTCCAGTCTTCAACTCACTCAGATCCAGGGAGGCTTGCTAATAGCCAAACCAAAGAGGCCTGTGAGGTGAAGCCATCAGAAGCCAGGCACCAATCACATCTATCAGCTCGGGAAAATGTCCCAGTGGTGAGTTGTACTCTGGTGTTTTGTCCCCATTTACAGAAGGAAGTAAAATATCGTTTGGGTCCTGTTGAGAGCTAACCTAAGAAAGGGAGGTTTACTCCTGGCTGCCTGGCTGCTGGTGTACTTAGCAGGTCTTTGCTAGTGAATGATACAAAAGATAAATTCAGGGGTCTGTTGACAGTTCAGCAGGTAAATGTGTTTGTTGCACAAGCTGGGTGACCTGAGTTTGATTCCTTCCACAAGGTGGAAGGAGAGAACTAACTCCAGAAAGTTGTCCTCTGACCCCCACACACAAGCTGGGGCGCATGCCCGATCATACATACACAAACAAATGTCTCAAATAGTATTAAGGACCAGCCTTAATAATCTTCCTCCCGGGGGCCCAGAAGAGAAGCTACACGCAGCAAGAATTATTTTCAGGAAAAGAATCTAAGTACACAGAGCTCTTTGTCTGTCTACTTTATTCCTCTGGGATAAAATCCTATATCCACAGCTTCAGTTCTGTTCTCGTGCCTGGCTCCTTTCTTGCCTGATTTCTCTCTACCTTTATCTGCTGTCCCCTCTAAGTTCTATCTTAATTCTCTCATGTTAGTTCTGCCCCATCTTGGTCTTTCTCATCTCGTTCTTCCCCATCTGGCTTTTCATCTTCCATCTCATTCTTCTAGTTCTCCATCTAGTTCTCCGGTCAAAATCCTCTCCCGGTCTCTGAGGTTTACAATTATGTACCCATGCAATAGCAGTGCTCTAGCCAAAGCAAGGTCACCAGGCTTGAATTCTTACAGGGTCATAAAGGCAGACAAGAGTTTTCCTCAGGCAGTGACTGTCAGGCTTTCTTTACAGCCCAAAAGGGGAGTGGTAAAGGAGGAGGAGGTCAACCGAGAGCTAAGATCGGTTAATATATCAAAAAGGGAATTTATGTTCTCAAAATACATTCCTAGAGGTGGTTAGGTAAATGTTAGGAGTCTATAATGTTAGTATAAATACCACTAAGACTGTGTAAGAAAGGAGGGTCTGAGCTTAATTTACCTTAATTCAGGAGATTGTTTGGCCTTGGATGCTTGATAGGTATTTCAGATAAAATACACTGTTAGGAGTTCTTGGAAGCACACATAGAATACAAGGAAATCATTGCAGGAATCTGCTTATATATATATACAAAAGCTAAAGTATCACCAAGACTTAAGCCATGGTTTGACCTTTGGAGAAGTCCTTGACCTTTCCAAGTAGTAACTTTTGTGACAGTAGCTGAATTCCATTACATTTTCCTGTGGCTTGCAGCACAAATGTAAAATAAATAAATAAAAGGTTAAACAACATTCCACTCTCTTTGTTTTTTGAGACGTGGTCTCACTGGATAGCCCAGGCTAACCTCACATTTATGTCTCCTCCTGCATCAGCCTCTGAAGTGCTAGGGTTGTAGGTGGGAGGTACCGCACCTAGCTCTTTGATTTGTTTGAGACTGTATACATGACTGAGCTGACACTCTGTAGTCAGGTGGTTCTCACACTTACCCTCATCCTCCTGCCTCTGTCTCCCGAGTGCTGCGATTACAGGTAGGCCAGGCCTCCCCGACTTACACTTCGTAAATTACGTTTATTGTGCATGCGTGGCGGCCAGAAGACAACCTGTGAGAGTCAGGTCTCTCCCTCCTCCGTGTGGGTCCCAGAGACAGAACTCAGGTCATCCATCAGGCTTAGCGGCAAGCACCCTGTACCTGCTGAGCCATCTGGCGCCCCCTCCCGCTGCCTGCCGATCCCTCAGTGTAACCCCAGAACAAGAAAAAGGGGAACATCTGGATCTCAGGAAACCTCCAATAAGCTGTGGGTTTGCCTTTTTGGTAGTTCAATTTACCGGTGCCCATGACTCCCAGTTCAAATGAAAGATCTGCAGAGGATCTCTGGTCATTATTTTGCAGATGAGGAAACCCCACCTGGGAGCTGCCACACTGATTTAGCAGCGACTCCAGATGGTCCAATTCTGTCTGTCTAGTGCACTATGGTACAGCTGGGTTCACAGGCCAGTTTCATGGCCTTAATGGAAATTTTTCTGGAATTGAAATATCTTCTCAGAGCGTATGATAGCCCTTCCATTGACGTTTTGAAGAGCACCAGAAAGGTCCACCCAGTCTTGATCTTATTATTGCTAGAGGATGAATCCTGAGCTGAGAGTTGGAAAGATGCAGAATGGAGATTTAGGGAAGTATTATATTTTCTCCCTATGGTGGCTTTAAATGAAGACTAGCCTAGTTAGTGTCTTTATTAGGAAAAGAAACACATTGCATTAAAAATAAATAATAGAAACCAAGTACACGAATAGGAACACATCATGATGAAAACCATTATTTTGTACATTAATTAAAAATTTCAACTAAATGATACAATACAAAATGATACTGTTATTCAGTCTTCAGTGGCTGAAATATTTTCAAGTATCTCAATGCTCCTGAATATGTCTGGGAATTTAAAAAGCACTTGATGTGGTTGGATAAATAGCTCAATTGGTAGAATGCTTGCCTGGATCCTCAGGTGTGGTACACATGCCCACAATCCTAGCATTTGGGGATCAGAGGCAATTGGGTCAAAAATTCAAAGTTATTCTCAGCTATACAGTAAGTTTGAAGCCAGCCTGGGCTACATGAGACCTTGTCTCAAAAACAGGACTTTGCCATTTTCAATATTTTATAATTACTATAAACAGCATAAAGTTCATATTAATAGTCATTATGATCTTGTTTTCAATTAACTTTGTTTAACTATGAAATCATAACACAAAACGCCTGGCTTTGAGACCCAGATTTCAAGCAACGTACTGCCGTGCGTAGTGGTGTCTACTTGTCCCCCCAGCTGCTTGGGAGGCTGATTCACCAGGAAGGCCACGAGAGCCCACAAGTATGTGGCCATCCTGGGCAATACAGTGAGCCTCTGTCTCAAAAGTAAAATAAAAGGAAACAGCACATTATCTCTGGGAGCAGGTATACTTAAGATCTAGTTTGGGTTTTAACTATAATACAGCACTGTAAACTTGCTTTGTGTCATCTCGTAGATTTCTTATAGTTCAGGTTATGGAGACACTAGGGACTGAACCTATAGTTTTGAATCCAGCCAAGTGTCCCGTGTTTGTACATTTAAAATCCCCCCCAGTGCTGGGGATGCAGTGAGTGCAGCGCCTCACAGACACCAGGGGAGGGGCCCCACCGCTGAGCTGCTCACTAACCCCACGTTTTAACTTCTTGTCCGTTTGAGGCAGGGCCTTGCTGTGCTAGCCCAGGATGACCTATAGAACTCTCTGTGTCAACCAGCCTGGCCTCGTACTTGTGACAATCTTTCGGTCTCTGCCCCCAGGAATGCTGGGATGATAGTGTGTGCCACCACGGCCAGCTTGAATTCTTCTTTTCTGCATGTGTGTGTACAGTGTGTGTGTGTGCGCGTGTTTCTGTGTGTGAATGTGGGAACGTACCTGCTATGGTGCTCCTATGGAGTCAGAGGACACCCTTGGGTGTCAGTCTGTTTTCTATCTTGTTTGAGACAACGGGCTTTTATCATCTCTTCCCCTCCCATCCTGCTCTGCCTGGTTCCTAAGCCTCCTACATTCCCCTGTCTCTCCTTCTGCATTCTCCCATATTTCCCATAGGAACACTTGAATTACAGGCTCCTGCTACCACCTCTGGCTCTGTATGGAGATTTGAACTCAGGTCCTCCCTTTTATCTTACCAATGTTTTTACCCACGGAACCATCTACCCAAGACCTAGAATAATTTTTTATTTACCACAAATGTAGCCCATGCACGTAATTTTGTGTCAATTCCACCACAAATAATGTATCACACTTATCATTTTTGAGGCAGGGTATCATATAGCCCAGGGCTCAAACTTGCCATGTATCTGAGGGGTACCTTGAAGTTCTGATCCTCCTGCCTCCACTTCCCAAATCCTGAGATTACAGCTGTGTGTGATGGGGAAGACTGCCCTCAAACAGCATAATAGCTGACCAGAGGATAACCTTGACTTCCTGGTCTCCTGCCCCAGACTCCCAAGTGCCGGTACTATAGGCATACACCGCTAAACCTAACTGTTTTTATCCTTCTGTGACTTGATTATTTGATTTGGTGATGGATCTGTTTTGATACATGTATAATTTTTAAATGGTTTCCACCAATTTGTGATAGTTTACTGGACTCTAAAGGATAAAACCACAAATTATTTACCCATTAAATTCCTACTTGACATTAGAAGTTCTCAACTTTTAAGAATGCTTTGTAGGCCGGGCGGTGGTGGCGCACGCCTTTAATCCCAGCACTCGGGAGGCAGAGCCAGGCGGATCTCTGTGAGTTCGAGGCCAGCCTGGACTACCAAGTGAGTTCCAGGAAAGGCGCAAAGCTACACAGAGAAACCCTGTCTCGAAAAACCAAAAAAAAAAAAAAAAAAAAAAAAAAAAAAAAAAGAATGCTTTGTAATATATATAAATTATACATAATAATAGGTTTCATTATAATGTTGCATACACGTACATATGTATCTCATATTTGTGCCCCCATTACCATCTCTTGACCCTCGCCCTTCTATTTTTATATCTTTTGTGTGTGTGACCCAATGAATTTCAATAGGTTTGTTTACAGGTGCATGGGCACCTTATCCGTGGTTACATCACTGAAGAAAATGTCTCCCTCTCTCCAGACATCTATATATAAATCCTTCAGATGGCAGTGGCTACCTCCTTGGAACACTTAACACCAAGGCTAACAACATGACCATTGTAGTCCCCAGTTACAACAAAAGCCTTGAACCTGGTCTGCTGGCCAGTCCAAGTCTGCTCCTGCATGGGCATAAATTTAGGGAAGCTCCCAGGAAAAATACAATTAATATCAGATTCCTTAATGGGCAAGGAGAACAAGTAGATCTCCTCCAGGGGCTTGATCTTCATGTCCTTGACCAGGTGGCCCAGCTTGGTGATGGGGATCCATTCCTTGTCTTCAGCTTTACCTCCACAAGCTCCACAGCCTTGACTATGGCCATGGCCTTGACCACAACTATGGCTCCTAAGACCACTGTTGAATCCTCCAGTACAACGAGGGAAGCTTCCAAGGTCTCCTAAGCCTGGGCCTCAGGGTCCTCTGGATCCTCGGGGCTCTCCTGATACACTGGTGTCATCCACCATCTGGATGAGTAAGAGGAGCTTTATTAATGTTATTATTTAGGGTTGGGGTTGTAGCTCAATTGGTAGAGTGCTTGCCCAACATGCAGAGAGCCCTGACTTTGATACCCAGCACTGTATTAGAAAAAATGACCAACCAATCAACCGAACAACAACAAAAACAGGCGTGGTGGTATAGTCTTATAATCATTTGGGATGTGTAGGCAGGGAGATCAAAATTCAAGGTCATTCTTGGTTGCATATGGCATTTGATGCAAGTATTGGATACGTGAGACTCTCGTTTCAAAAGAATGGACACATTTCTAATTCTATGTAGTCTGTTCCTTCTCACTTCAGCATGACCAAGTCTGATTCTTGTGTGTGTGTGTGTGTGTGTGTGTGTGTGTGTGTGTGTATTTTTTGCATGTCTTTCCCCTTTTCTATTAGCGTAGAAGTTATACAATATATGATATTATTTTCACAGCTATAAAGCTTTTACTATTAGGGTGGATTTGATCAAAACACATTATATGCATCTGTGAAATTCTCAAACAATAAAGACTTGTGTTATACTAACACACACACACACACACACACACACACACACAAGTAGCATAGTTAACTAAAAATCTTTATTAGTCATTTGAATTCTTGAGCGCTAAACTTTTGTACTATACTTGAGTACTATATTTTAACTTCTTTTTCCATTCTTAATATATGTGTGTCCCTTTAAAAAAAAAAAAAAAAGAAGAAGAAGCTCCTGTGCTGAGTGTAGCATCACACACCTTTAATCCCAGCACTGGGGAGGCCGAGGAAGACAGGTATCTGTGAGCTAAAGGCCACCTTGGTCTACAAAGTGAGTTCCAGGACAGCCAGGGGAAAAAACCTGCTTGTATTAGTTGCTTCTCGATGCTGCGATAAAATCCCCCAACAGAAAGTAACTTATCCAAGAGTTTATTTTGGCTTACGATTCCGGAGGGCAAGAGTCCGTCACGGTGGGGAGTAAGGGCAGCAAGCAAGCAGGTTCGATGGCAGGAGCAGAAAGCTGAGCCATCACATCTCAACCGCCAACCTGGAGCAGAGGTCCCACCGGAAGCGGCAAGAGGCTTTCCGTTCACAAAGCCCTCCCCCGTGCCGATCTTCCCCCCAGCGGCTCCACACAGCGCCACCCACTGGGGACCATGTGCTCAGATGCTTGAGCCCAGTGGAGGGACATTCCTTGTTCAAGCCACCACACTGCTTTTCTGGGGTGGTGTGTGTGTGTGTGTGTGTGTGTGTGTGTGTGTGTGTGTGTGTGTGTGTGTGTGTGTGTGTGTGTGTGTGTGTGTGTTCTACGTTTGCCATGTGTGTAACTGTGTGTGGTCTATGTACACAAGTGCCTGTGTGTCCAAGTCTGTGCATGGGCAGGTGGAAGCCTGAGGAGGGAGTCGGGTAGCCTCCCTATCACTCTCTGCCTTATTCTTTTGAGGTAGGGTCTCTCTGAACACCAGCAACCTCAGCACTCCTGTCTCTGACCCTACCCGCCCTGGAGATAACCACTGAGCCATCCCTCCAGCACAGCCTTCGTTTTCGTTTTTGGTTTTCCGTCCAGTGTCTTTATTTTCTACCGCATGTAGGACAGTTTGGCTCACATCACTTATTGTTATTTTCTTCTTCTTTTGGTACTCCCTCCCCACTTTTTTGGTAATATTCTGTGGTTTTCCTCAGACTCACATCAATCCACCTGTTTCAGCCTCCTGGATGCTGGAATTATAGGCACTAGCCACAGCATCTAGCATCTCTTCTCCATATTTTTTTATTTTATTTTTATTTCACACTTGGTAAGTTTGTTTTCTTTCATCTTTAGACTTTTTTTGTTTGTTATGTTTTTTTGAGATAGGGTTTCTCTAGGAAACTTTAGCTGTTCTTGGCTGTCCTGTAACTTGCTCTGTAGACCAGGCTGGACTTGAACACAGAGATCCACCCACCTCTGCCTCCTGAGTGCTGGGATTAAGGGCATATGCCACCACCACCTGCACCACCACCACCACCTGCATCTCTGCATCTATTCTTTTTTTTTTTTTATTCGGAGCTGAGGACCAAACCCAGGGCCTTGTGCTTGCTAGGCCTCTACCACTGAGGTAAATCTCCAACCCGTGTCTATTCTTAATCTTTTTTTTTTTTTTTTAAAGATTTAGCTATTTATTATAAGCGCCATAGAGCCTCCATGTGGTTGCTGGGAGTTGAACTCAGGACCTCTGGAAGAACAGTCAGTGCTCTTAACCACTGAGCCATCTCTCCAGCCACCTATTCTTAATCTTAAAACATAAATTGGGGCCGGGCGGTGGTGGCGCACGCCTTTAATCCCAGCACTCGGGAGGTAGAGCCAGGCGGATCTCCGTGAGTTCGAGGCCAGCCTGGGCTACCAAGTGAGTCCCAGGAGAGGCGCAAAGCTACACAGAGAAACCCTGTCTCGAAAAACCAAAAAAAAAAAAAAAAAAAACAAAAAAAAAAAAATAAATAAATAAATAAATTGGTCATGTAATCCAAGTACTTGGGAGACAGGTGGGTCACAGTTTGAGTCCATCTTGGGCTATATAGTTAAACTTTGTCTCAAGCAAACAAACACCCAACCATAATTTAATTCAGTATGATATACTAGATGACAGTTCCGATATTTCATTGATTTTTAGAAAACACTATTACTTTATGTGCTATTGTAAATTTAAAAGTATGTTTCCAGCTAAGTATGAACAATACGAGTTGTCTCTACTTTTAAGATACCCAACCCAACTGCCAAGATAAGAAAATGGGGGTGGCTGGAGAGATAGTTCACTTGGTAAACCGCTTATATCATAAATATGAGGACCTGAGATCAGTTTCTGGCATCCACATGAAACCCACAGGCACAGGCAAATGTGTCTATAATCCCAGCACTGTAGAGGCAGGCACAGGCAGATCCCTACTGGATGAGCAACAAGCCAGTGAGAGACATCTCAAAAACCAAGGTGGACAGTACCTAAGGAAACACACACAAACACACGCATACACACAAAAAAGAAAATATTAAAATGTATGCTTCTTGGAATGGACGGACGATGTTACATTTTTCTTAGTGCATTAAAGATCCCATTCTGCTGCTTTCCAGTTTCTGTGTTATTAGTGAGGGATCACTTTGATTGTTGTGTGTAATCGGCTGTCTCAGGTCTAGGCTGCTCTCAAATGCAACATATAGCTGAGAATAGCTTTGAATGTCTCTCATTTTTCTACCTTCACCTCCTGAGTGCTAGGATAGCAGGTGTGTGCCACCATGCCTGGTTTCATTATCTACCCTTTCTCCCTTTCCTTTCTTTTTAGAAGCTACTTTTTTTAAAAGAAAAAATATTTATTTTACGTGTGTGTGTGTGTGTGTGTGTGTGTGTGTGTGTGTGTGTGTCCCCGTCCATCTGTGTCCACACATGAGTGAGTACAGGTGCCCTCGGAGGCCAGAAGAGGAAGTTAGATTTCTTATAAATAGAATTACAGGTGGTTGTGAACCACCCAGCTCGAGTGCTGGGAACTGAACTCTTGGCTGGAAGAGCAGCAAGCGTTCTTAATCTCTCTCTAGCCCCTAGAAACTACTTCTCTCCTTTTTTTCTCTTTTTTTATTCTTTCCTTCCTTCCTTTCTTCCTAAACATGTCTTTTACTCAAGATAAATTTACTTTGAAAATTAATTTTTGTTTGTTTGTTTTGTTTTGTTTTTCAAGACAGGGTTTCTCTGTGTAGCTTTGTGCCTTTCCTGGAACTCGCTCTGTAGCCCAGGCTGGCCTTGAACTCACAGAGATCCACCTTGCCTCTGCCTCCCGAGTGCTGGGAGTAAAGGCATATGACACCACCACCCGGCCCTTTTTCTTTTTAGATGTATTTTATGTGCACGAGTATTTTGCTTTCATGGATGTATTTGCACCACATGTGTGCCTGGTGCCGTTGGAGGTCAGAAAAGGGTATTTGATCCCCTAGAACTAGAGTTACAAATAGTTGTGAGTCATCATGTCGGGGCTCTGTGCATCTGCACATGTTCTTGGAGGTCAGAAGAGCTGTTGGGTATCATCCCTCCTTCATTCTCCTCTACTCTGTTCCTTTGAGGTAGGGTCACTCCTTTAACTTGGAGCTCCTGGTTTTTGTTGTTGTTGTTTTGTCTGGGCTGGCAGACAGCAAGCCTCAGAAATCCTCCTGTCTCCACCCCTACCTGCCCACTGCAGGCTACAGGTGTGTTGAGGATCGTGATTTGTCGCAAGGCTGCAGGAATCTGAACTCCTGACTCCGAGCTTTGCAGCAAGCCCTCTTTCCTGCTGAGCCCTCTCTCCAGCCCCCTCTAGCGTCATTAGATACACGTGGAAATTTCTCCGAGGGTTTTCTGGATTCCTGTACTCTCAGAGATCACGTCACACAATTCAGATAGGCTGCATTTGCTTCCGGGAAGTAGGAACTATTGACAGGGAAGCGTTAAGTTTAGAAGAACAGAAAGCAGCTATCTAGGTCAGTGTGATACTCACTGCTTTCCTGGAAACTGTTGGGTCTGCTAGGGCAGTACCTCAGAATAAATATCTTAAAGTGGAGTTCCGTTTGCCACTACTTGTTGTAAGCATTCATGTGGGCTGTATTGCGTGGACTGTAACATTTGTGGGTTTTGATCTGCAGGGCGCTGTAACATTTGTGGGTTTTGATCTGCAGGGTGCATGCTTAACTGGCCATTTCTCTGTATAGGCCTGTTTTGATCCACCTCTTGAAGTGGTTCCTACCGGGAACCCAGTCATATACAACATAAAGGCAGCAGACCCAGTCCACCCTGACCTTGCCAGCTTGCTGGTAAAAAACAAGACTCTCTTAGTCGAGGTATATGGCTTACAAAAACAAAATTGTGGAATTACCTCTTCCGAGAATAGTTAGGAGAGACATATATGGCTTAGGAAAACAAAACTGGGGAATTACATCTTCCAAGAACGGTTAGGAGAGACATTTCTGCAGACGGCACAAGGCATTATCTTTTTTTTTTTGGAGCTGAGGATCGAACCCAGGGCCTTGCGCTTGCTAGACAAGCGCTCTACCACTGAGCTAAATCCACAACCCACAAGGCACTAACTTAACCTGGTTTCCTTCCTTCCACATCGAACTCTCTCATCACAGGAGCACAGTTGAGATTCATGTCCACCTTTGGCACCCCTGTGGAGGATGGTGCCTAGTTCAGGGCTTCTGAGTTGACAGGCAGCTTTGGAAGTCAGTATACTGCTTGTGGGATACCATGCTCAAAACTTAGGACATAGGGCCTGAAGAGATGGCTCAGCAGTGAAGAGCATTGACTGCTCTTCCAGAGGTCCTGAGTTCAATGCCACAATGGTGGCTCACAGCTATTTATAACTCCAGTTCCCGGGGATTTGACCCCCCACTTCTGGCCAAGACACCAGGCAGGCACCAGACATGTGGTACATAGATATACATGTAGACAAAACACACATAGACACAAAATAAAAAAATTTTTAAAAGCAAATAAAAATTTGTGGCATAATAATAATCCTCTTTGTCTCTGTCTCTGTCTCTCTCTCGTGTGTGTGTGTGTGTGTGTGTGTGTGTGTGTGTGTGTGTGTGTGTGTGTGTGTGTGTAAAATGGCTGAAGCGCTAACCCAGGACCTTGCACACACAAATATTCTACCACTCCTTCCCGGCAAATATCTACTAGTTCTGTTTGATACTTGGTAGAAATCTGAGAGCATCACACAAACAGCATTCATGGGAACTGCCTTGACTTTTACTCCCTGTGGTGAAGCCTGGGGAGCGCTTGTAGCAATTCTTTAGTTTAGCCTAACTATCCTCAGGGCTTGTTGACTGAGACGATTTCCAGTAACAGTGGCTGGAGGCTCTCTGGTCCTTGTCATCTGAAGGGCTCTGTACTGTTACTTCTAGAAGTTCCACCTTTCTGTGGTTATCTTCCAGTAGAATCCTCAGAATGTTTACATACAGGGGCCAGCTGGTCGGGTGAGCAGGTGAGCAGATCTCTCTGTGGCCGCATTTGCTTCCTCAGCTACTGTAGCAAAGCATCGACTGAGTGCTGAAAACACAGTATCTTCTAGTGTGAAACAAGGTGTCAGCGGGCTGGTTTCTCCTGAGATGTTTCTTCTTGGGTTGTAGATGGTGATCTTATCCTGGTGTCTTCCCGCATCTGTGTTCAAGCCCCCGCTTCTCCCCCACCTTCTCCATTTCTGAAGATTAATGTGTGTGTGTGTGTGTGTGTGTGTGTGTGTGTCTGTATGTCTCTGTGAACATGCATGCCGGTGCCTCAGGGGGGTCAGGAGAGGGTATCAGATCTCTTGGAGCTGAAGCCACAGGTGATTGTGAGTTACCTGATGTGGGTGCTGGGAACTGAACACCAGTTTTCTCCAAAAGCAGCAAGGGGCCTTAACTGTGGGGTCATCTCTACAGCCCCAAGTTTGCTTCTTGTATAAGGAGTTGGTGGGATGGCTCAGTGGATAGAGCACTTACCTCCAGTCCTGATGACCTGAGTTCTATCCCTGGGACCCACAGAATGGAAGAGAAAACCAACTCTCTTTGTTTTCTGATCACCACATGCCACACACACACAAATTGTTATAACACCTTTTCTAAAAAAGGACATCAGCCATACTGGATTAGTATTTTTTACTAATTAAACCACTTTTTAAAAAAATTATTTAACTTTATTTTATGTGCATTGATGTGAAGGTGTCAGATCTCCTGGAACTGGAGTTACAGACAGTTGTAAGGTGCTGTGTGGGTGCTGGGAATCGAACCCAGGTCCTCTGGAGGAGCAGCCGGTGATCTTAACCATTGAGCCATCTCTCCAGCCCCAGATTAGGGACCACCTTAATGATAAAAAAAAATAAAAAAATAAAAATAAAAATGAATTTTTTTTTTTGAGACAAGGTTTCTCTGTGTAACAGCCCTGACTGTCCTGGAACTCACTTTATAGACCAGGCTAGCCTCAGACTCACAGAGATCTGCCTACATCTGCCTCCTGGGGCTAAAGGCATAAGCCACCACACCTGGCTAAATTAACTACTTGTTAGAAATATAGTCACGCCAGGCAGTGGTGGCACACGCCTTTAATCCCAGCACCCGGGAGGCAGGGCCAGGTGGCTCTCTGTGAGTTCGAGGCCTGGTCTACAGAGCGAGATCCAGAATAGGTACCAAAACTACACAGAGAAACCCTGTCTCAAAAAACAAAACAAAACAAAAATAATAAATAAAGAGAGAGAGAGAGAGAGAGAGAGAGAGAGAGAGAGGGAGAGAGAAATAGAGTCACATTATGAGGTATTGGGGATTACAACTTCAATATACTAACTTGGGGTACACTCTATTCATTCCTTTTCTGCCAAGATTCTTAGTAAAGTTACTAACTTTACTCTAAGTTCGTCTCTGCTCTCTCATCTACCAATAGCTTGATTCCAGATTTCACTTAAGAAGATACAAAATTAGCAAGGAGGGACTGGGGTCGTAACTCGGCTGGTAGAGTGCTTGCCTGTCCTGTACAAGGCCTAGATTCGATGCCCGGCCCCACCAAAAATGTACATGTGTATATAGTTATATGTGTACCTATTTCCATGTGTATTTTGTATTCCTTTCTATTTTCTATTTTACATCTTAAAAATACATTTGCCTCTGTGTGGGATGGTACATCCTTGTAACGCCAGTATTAGGAGACTGAAAAAGGACAAGCCAATTTGAGGGCAGCCTGGGTTACATGAGACCTTGTCTCAAAAAAAACAAAAACAAACCAGGGACCGGGGAGGTGTCTTCATTGGTCAAGCGTTTGTCATGCAAGTGTGAAGAACGAGTTTGGATCCCTAGAACCCTTTAAAAAGCCAGGCGCTGTGGGGTGCACCCGTAATCCCCAGGCCAGGAGGCAGAGAGAGGGGCACCCTGGGGTTTGCTAGCTGAACCAGTGAGATCCAGGTTCAGTGAGAGACCTAGTTTAAAAGATTAAGGTGGAGGGGCCCGTGAGGTGGCTTCGCCGGCAGAGGCTCCTAACAGTGCAAGCCTGGCCGCTTAAGTTTGAGCTCCAGAATCATGTATATTACTTACCTTTTTGTGGCTGTGATAAAATGCCATGAGCAAACGCAATTTAAGGATTTAGTTTAGTTTAGTTTCAGAGGACTAGATGTCCACAGTAACAGGAAAGGCATGTGGCAGGCGCCGAGAGCCGAGGAGTCACATCTCAACAGTATACAGGAGGCGGACGGCAAACAGGAAGTGCAGTGAAGCTCTAGGGCTTCAAAGCCCGCCCCCAGTGACGTACTTCCTCCAGCAAGGCTCTACCTCCTAAAGGTTCCATAACCACCCCCACCCCCCCCACCCCCCCACCCCGCAACAGCACCACTAAAGGGGGGACCAAGTATTCAGATATGTGAGCCTTAGGGGACATTTCTCATTCAAACCACAATACCATGTAAAGAGGGAGAAGGAAAGACTTCACAGAATGGCCCCCTGACTTCTGCATATGCATGTGCGCGTGCGCACACACACACACACACACACACACACACACACACACACACACAGTAATAATGACAATAATGGTAATAAAATTTTAAAGCACAAAGTGAAGAGCAGCTGAGGTGAGAAAGACAGATGACATTGACCTCTGACCTCTACACACACACACACACACACACACACACACACACACACACACGCTTGTGCACACCCCACTGTAGCAGGAATCTTAGAGGGTCTTATTAATAAAAACAAACCCAGAGCCAGTTATTGGGGTGGATGCTGGAAGATCAGAGAAGCAGAACAAGCCACAGCCACCTCACCTTGCCAATTCCTCAGCTGATCCTGTTTCCTCAGACGGGAAGCCTCTGTGTCCTTATCCAAATGACTCTCAGCTGAACTGTGCTGCTCAAAGCCTAAAAGCTTAACCAGCCAAACGCTTCTAGTTTCTGGTCTTCATGCCTTATATACCTTTCTGCTATCTGCCATCACTCCCTGGGATTAAAGGCTCACTTTCTGGGATTAAAGGCTCACTTTCTGGGATTAAAGGCTTGAGTCACCATGCTTGGCTGTATCCTAGAACACACAGAGATCCAGGTAGATCTCTGCCTCTGGAATGCTAGGATTAAAGGCGTGTGCTACCACTGTCTATCCTCTATGTTTAATATTGTGGCTGCTCTGTTGTTCTCTGACCCCAGATAAGTTTATTAGCGTGTACAATATTTTGGGGAACACAATACCACCACATCCCACCACACACACATGAACATATGAACATGACTGTGTACAGTACACACACACACACACACACACAACAAGCCCAAACAAAACTGTGTATGTTGTCCTAGTTTACACCCTTCTTAGCCCAGGCTGGCCTCGAGCTCACAGAGATCCGCCCGCCTCTGCCTCCCGAGTGCTGGGACTAAAGGTGTGAGCCTCCACTGTCTGGCTCTAATTTGTTTTCTATTGCTGTGATAAACATCATGACCAAAAGCAATTTGGGGAGGAAAGGGTTTATTTCGTGTTACAGACCCTAAGTCCATCATAAAGGGAAGTCAAGGCGGGAACCGGAAGGCAAGAACTGAAGTAGAGACCGTGGAGGAGTGCTGTTTACTGACTTGCTCTCCATGACGCCCTCAGCCTGCTTTCTTCTACAGGGGTGACACTGCCCCCAGGGAGCTGGGCCCTCCTACATCAATTATTCATCAAGACATGCCCCCCCACACACTTGCCTACGGGCGGTCTAATGGAGGTATTTCCCCAGAAGACTCTAGCTCGTGTCAAGTTGACAAAATAACTAATCGGCGCATAGGTTTTTCATATCACCATTACAATTAATAACACAGCAAATGGGCTGCCAAGATGTTAGA